TGGGCAATGAGCCCAAGAGAGATGCTGCAGGGGCCACACCGGTGGCAAGGAGAACTCGTAACCAACGGGGAACCGCGTTGCAAGCTCCGTTGAGACAAGCAGTAGGGAATGATGGTTCGGTTGTAGTGAAAGTGCCTTTTTCGATTATAGATTTAAATAATTGGAAAATAGCTGCCGGTAGTTATGGGGACAATTCCGACCGAGTGGCTAGTGTTTTTGAAATGATGATAAAAACTCAGGATCCAGATTGGAAAGATAATTGAAGTTATTATGCAAGTATTGTTGGATAGTACAGAGAGGGAGATGATTCATGAGACGGTAAGGACGCAGGTTGAAGCCCAAATAGCGGCAGGGACATTATCCTGGCTGGGATCCTAATGATAATGGGCAGAAAATGTTACTAATGCAATATCAGAAGTGGGTTCTGTTTGGTATAAAAATGCTATACCAAAAGCGATAAATTGGTCAAACTTATACAAGGTTAAGCAGGATAGAAAGAAGCCTCCCACTGATTTCCTAAATAAACTGAAGGGTGCTGCTCGGAAGTGTACAACTCTGGATCCTGAGTCAGAGGAATAAAAGAATCAGTTAACAACTTTGTGTATCAGGCAGTCTGCTGACGATATCCGGAGAAAGCTGCAGAAGTTACAAGGAGCAGATGCCAGGGACCTGGGAAAATTGTTGGATGTGGCTTGGGTGATTTACAGAGATCAGCAGAAAGAAAAGGGAAATGCTAGGTTGATCGCGACACTAGAAGGAGCCTATGGTCCTTGAGGGAGGGATATCCTCCAGGGGAGGATTTAGAGGTGGTTATCGAGGAAGAGGATATGGTAGAGGATTCCCAAGGTCCCCAACAGGAGAGATACAGTGTGCTTATTGTAGAAAAAAAAAAAAAAAGGAGGCACTGGAAATGAGAGTGCCCATCGTTGCAGAAATTTGGGGAACAAGACGCTCCCGTGTTAGCCGTAGAGGCAAGGGATTGAAGAAGACCAGAGGAATCCTCCCCAGCAGAGCCGCTGGTTAAAATTAAGCTGGGGGAAGATGTAACTGAAATAGAATGTTTGGTCGATACAGGGGCCACCCATTCGGTTTTGAACACGAAGAAACATGAGTTAGGATACAATACTGTGAGAATTATTGGTGCGACAGGAAAGCCGGAGGTGCGGCCCTTCTTTAGACCTCTAAAATTTAAAATCGGAAAACAATGGGTAACGCATCAGTTTTTGTATCTACCAGGTGCACCAAAACTTTTAATAGGCTGAGATCCACTAGAAAAAACTAGAAGCTGAAATAAAGTTTAAGAATGGAGAAGTAGAAGTGTCAATACCTGAATCTAAATTTGTCCAAGCTTCAATATTATTATTGCAGGAAATTGAGCAAGTGAAAAGAAA